AACACACTAATACGGAGTAGTAATTCTTGATCAAACCTACAAACTTGCAAAGCCAACATTTGTACACTTTCCTGCAACTACCATTATTGTTAATTATAAGTCGACATGGCTTGGCAGAGAAATGATAATGTTATGTGCCTGTTCTTTTACAACATGGTACGGTATGCATCGGCGGTGCCTTTAGTTTATTAAGGCAATACTCAACATGATTATATGCTTATAGCACTCCCGTGTTTATTTTATTTTATTTAGATAATATTCAACATGTTATATGCATAGTGAAAGATATGTGAGTGAATATGAATTGATCGAAAATCAAATGGACATTGATTGATTGTAACAAGTCATTAAACAAATATGTATGATCAAGACTAGTATATTGATAAGATACCTAATAATTTCATAACACATGATTTGTAATCTACTACTCAACCCAAAACAATCTTAAACGCAACGATCTACTTGCATTATGATTTATGACCTTTAATGTTGTCCCATGTTCAAAAGTTTGGACCCTACAGCCCTGCCACATATCTGAGAAATGTGTTTATGCATTATTTTATTTTTTTTTTATTATTGAGACTAGCTAATGCATGTGCAAATTTTTGTTTTCGAGTAGAAATAATTACTTTCTCTTGAAATAAAAATTCCTTGCCAAAAAAAAAAAAAAGTACTATTGTCCAAAAAATATGCACATAATATCTAAATCGGGGAAAAAAAATTGCACATTAGGCTTTAAAAGTATAGATGCATATTCAATAGTTGAATACTAATTGTAGGGTGTATGAAAGTATGATGCATGTGTACACATGAGAAATACAGTCAGGAAACTTATTAGCTCCACAAGCTCTCAATAACTAGTTAGTACTTAGTAGTTACAATGTTTTGGTTGGAAAACAATTTATTTGAAGTTACTCCAATATTTATGTTTACAAAGATTGTGGGCCTTCTAGTAACTTTTATGGATCAGGGTTGCATGTGCTAATTACCATGACCACCTTTTCTATGTTTTTTGGGCCTTCGAGTTAAGCATAGCTTTTGTTTCCAACAGTAAAGAATGATTATTAGATGAAAAAAACCCAAAAAAAAATCTTTTAAATGAATTCATTAATGTAATAAATATTCATATGAAATGTACAAAAGAACTGGATTTAATAAAGAAAATAGATAAAAGGTGTTCATAGTTGAAAAGAAAGAAGGAATATTTTTGGGAGAACATTCTAACAATTTAATCCTGGTATTCCTTCCTCAAATCACTGTTGCTTTGTTTTATAAACAGACTAGCTAGTCATTGAAACTTGAAAACTCTTATCAACACAAAAAAAAAAAAAATTATACAGTACAAAACTAAAAGTTTGATATTAGAGCCGGTTTGGTTTATTTATGTTAATATGTTAATATTGTATTTATGTTAAATTTATCTTATTAAGAGTTTTAGGCTTATTAGGTTTCCTAATGTATTGTGTATATATACGTGTTTATTATCAATACAAAGCTTAATCCGTTTTCTCCACAATATTCTTGAGTTTAACATGGTATCAGGCCTCTCTAATTTCTAGAGAATTTTTTTTTCGATCTTGGTTTGGAATATCGAGTTGACATTAAACAAACAAATAAAATGAGCTGTACGTATAATTTTCCAAGATTTTGACGCATCTCAAGACAATTTCTAGTTAAAAAAAACGAATGAATTGATGTTGGTGAACAAACTTAGTTTGGCGCAGTGCAGGAACTACAAACACCTGGGAAAGAATCCTAAGTAAAGATTTACACATGAATCCTCGAAATATATACTGTATATTAAAGTCAAATGAATTCATAATATAAGTATTGAATTTAGTTGAATAAATGATTACTCCAAACACACAAAAATAAAAAAAGTTGTACGTAGTGGGGAACAATAATCTTCACTTTCCCTCGATATCATATTTAAATTATTGATTACAGTAATAGTAATACATATGGAGGTGGAGTGGAGCTATACTAATACAATACATGAGCAAATAGAAAAAAGTATTTATTACACTACTCAAGATTTACTTACATCTACAACTCACCAGTCTTGAATTTTGTTCCACACCATTCCATATCTCCACCAGTCAAAACACACTATCCATGCCCTACCATTAATCAAAACAACCTTCTTGGTCTATTTCGAATTCATAAATATTTCTAATATTGGATTAATCGGAACTACTCTCTTTGTCTCATTTCAATTTACTTGTCTTATTTTGTGATTTAGATCAATTGGAATAAGTAAAATAATGACACAATACAAGAAGATTTCATGTGGTTAAAGGCTAGGAGATTAATGTTAACAACTATATATATTACTACCATACACTCTCATTTCTTACATGAACAATTAACGTACACCGTGGTTAAAATATCAAGTTCATGACTTAATTTAGGTCCCTTATTATTAAAATACAACTATCATAATGCTATCTAAATTCTAAAGACTCATTAATAGTATAAAACTATATATGGTATAGATCGTATATATTGTATGCAATATGGAGTATTATTAATGTATTGTGATGATGACACAAGTAATGAAATCAAATAGTATTAAGAAAAATAAAGGTCAAAAGTATCCGACATAACAGCCAAAAATAATGTCACATTGTCACTACTCTCTAGTCTCTACTCAATCAGTTTGATGGCTGTGTAACAAAACTAGATATCCATGCCTCTTTTTGCAACAAGTATGGCTTCCTAGAAGCTAAAAATCATACTTTTCAACTTCATTTTTCAATTAGTGGAGGCGTCAAAATCAGTCCAGCCACTTATTAGTATTAATTTACAGTATAATTGTTTGGTACTAGTACGTATTATATATATTTTGGTTCACTTTGTCATCTTAGTACGTACTCGGATATAAGTATTTGTTTTTCCAACCTTCTTACAAGATTACACGTACTACTATAATGTTGGTGTGTATCACCCTATCTATAGGAATATAGGATTGATAGTCATGTTGATCGGTAGCGTAACCTAAAATAGATTGATATACCTAAATCCTCCAAGGGTTCTAATATAATTAACCGTCTAGCTAAGAGTACAAAATATTAACCACTCACATGTTTGGAACAAACAACGTAACGCATTCCATGCATTTCAATTGGTGTTATTTTGCCTATTATTTCACCAAAAACATGCATGCATAAAATCTACTACGTATCCCCCAAGTTTTAGTTGTTTCTTTCCTCTTTGACCAAGGCAAAGTTTTGGAAAACAATAAATATTGACTTGATTATCTTGCAGAAATGTGTTTCATTGAATTGAATTAGCGCATAGACTTGGGGAATAAGTAAACCTCTAAGATCCTAACTAATAATACAAGACTAGGAATCAATTAAGATGTAGATAAGGCATAAATATGTGTTTCCCAAACACACCAAAACTCTCTTTAGACCAAGTCTTATGCAAGCCCTTAAAAAGTCACTTGCTATTGAGATATTCCAAAGGAAAAGTGAATTAAATTTTCTCCCATTTTCCATATACTAGAAGGAAACTTCCTAAAACCATACACAACCAATTTGTGTTGCCTAAGCCCTAATTAAGTATCAAATAGATGTACTCGTTATTATAACAAATTTAATTATTGATCATGCTTACATACATAGGTGATAAAGAACAAAATCTGATGCAGAGCTGAGCACAAATTGACCCGATGATATGCATATATTAGTATGATTGATGGGAGTATATAATTTCAAAAGTAGTTGACGTTGATAATCTTTTAATTAACAATAAATGGCATCACCTAATTGACATAAATGCAACCACTTAAAAACATATTTGTTAAGTTGTTGTAATGCATGCATGCTTTAAGTTGAAAACAGAATAAAGATTCTGGTTTTCTGGTGTTTTTGCTTGTACTTGTTAGCGTACTCATGTCTGCAGACCTAAAAACAAGAAGCATACATAATGTTGAGAGTAACATTCTCAAAATGCATGAATTGTAGCTCATCAGATAGATCTCTAGTCTTTCACATGTCTACTTGTTGTGTATCATTCAATGTGAACACTTCTTCCTTTGTCTTGCTCGTTACCATGTTCTGTTTCCGGACTTCCCTATGATTAGTACGTATTTCCTATAAACTACTCTTATTTATTATAATCAACTTGATTAACACAACCTTAATACTCAGGTTACAATAATTATGGGGTTTTCGAGTACTCGTTTTCTCTTTACCCCAAACATTCACCAACCACAAGGATTTGGTTGCCTGGGTTAAATATATGATCTGATATATACAAATTAATCAAGTTGCGTGACAGAAGAAAAGGCGGTAGACACAGAGTAGAAGGACCAAAATTATTCAGGCTTTAGCGACTAGTAGCTCTGGTAAAGTAAAGTAGTACTTCGTATTTTGTATAACCAAACCAAACCCAGCAAATTTATGAATTAACAATTCTCAAATAGACCAGGTCTATCCGCGTACCTCATATTAATTAGTTTCTCCAGGCCAGCTTGTTTTCACACTGCTACAAATCAAAATACCTGCTACAGTAATAACTATGCTCACTTGGTGTTATATGGTGAGAGGTGCCGCAAGTCACACCTAAACAACTTATTACTATGTCACTCCCGATTATAATAATTTACGCAACAACATAACAAGTCACCCCTAATCTAGTTGGCCAGACCAAAATGTTGTGGTATGATATTTTGTCATTTTACTGTAAAATTTTCCAATATATATAGTTAGAGTTATGGATCAATCAATACATGATAACCCTGATTTTCACAATGGAATTAGCAATAGGGCAAGGTAAGTAGGTAACAGAAGCTGAAATAGAATGGCGTTTTGAATGGAAAAAAAAATACCAGCACAAGATAACTGTGATAATAAATAATCTTTTGTTTTGTATATTCTTTTCAATTTTTTACATTCTCCACTTGTATAAGTATGGTATCAACCCAATGAAATCTACAAAACTTGTCATTGGGTTCATATATAAGGTGAACTATAATGTGTATAGAGTCAAGGTAAGAAATGAAAAGAATGCCTAATGTTAACAATCTACTATCTTCAATTCTATACACAAGGTACAGAAAGAATAAAGAACAAAGAATATTGGTTGGTCAGTGCTACCTCCTAATTTACTAGTAACAGCTAAAATGTACGTTTTCCTCCTTTGCACAGGGGTGACAACTGCATTTGGCAGTGCCCAAGGCCTCTTCGTGATACTATAGGTATCGGTGTTGATGCCTTTGGAAATGATCCAGGGGAGAAGAATGATTTTGTCAGTGCACAAGCACTCCTTGGAGACAAATTCACTTGCTCTAGAGCTCGGAACTGAAGCCCTGATGGGTAATCCCTCACACACCCAATCCGAGGCCCTGCTCCTGTCGTCCATCTACAAGACAGTTGCTTCCCAAGCTGATATGACTTCATTCCTTTATGAGAATTTATTCTCTGCAGGATTGATTCTGCAGGGATAACTTCTTCTTCTTCTTCTTCTTCTTCCTTCTCTTTTTCTTCGACCAAAATGCCTTGTGATTCCACTTGCTCATCCTGCTCAGAGGCTGATCCTTCTTCCGTAGCTGAATCATAACCATTGTCCTCATCAATTTGATTATGTACACTAGGTTTTGTGGCCAGATGTTCACTCTGCATGGTTAGAAGCAATTCATCTCTTCTAGGTATTTCAAGATTGGTTAATTTTCTATTGAAGCGAATAGAATTATTTCGTCTGGGATGATCCATTGCAACAGCAGTCTCCTGTTCTAATACATCAGGTTTTGCTTCATTACTGCCATCCAGATTGACATTGTTCATTTCAACTGTATTTTCTGCAACCAGTTCTTCTTCAGAGTTGTTTCTCCAGTGGAGACTGCTTCTTTGCTTCACTAGTTTTTGCTCGTCCTCATCCACTGGATCAAACTGAACAGACAAGTTGAGAACTTTTAAGTTTGTATTTCCTTAAAGAGATCAAATCAAAAAAGCAAAGAATAGAGCCATTAAATTACCTTAACATCTGTAAGATCCACATCATATTCACTAAGGAAGGAGAGAAATTCTTGAAAGTTTTCCGGAGTAGGCCTATAGTGACCGCTGTGAGGCCATACTGCCTGATCAAGAGCAAAGAGGATATGCCATCAGTAACCACACATAAATGTTTAACAGAAAATATGAAATGTTTACTAATTTAACAAAGTGCATTTAGACTATGACTGTTACCTTTAACATGCCATTCTCCAAGACTAATCTCCCAGCAGCCAATGTAGCCCCTCCAGCGAGAAAGCTAGAGTGCTGAAATGTGCCTTTCTTCTTCTTGCCAACATATAAATTCTTGGATGTACTCAGCACAAAAATCCATTTGGCATTGGGATCAGATGAGGTGTCAAGAAGCTCCCCACTTTCTTTGTGGACAAATTTCCCGTTCTCAATGATAACTTCGTAGGCCTTTCTTTCCATCTGAAATAACAAATTCAGTAAGAATACTGCCCCTATATAATCATCATATACTTTACTTCTATAAACTCGGTATAACAAATCAGAACAAAGATAAGAGCGCAGACATATTGCTTACCGGGCCAAGATATTTAATGCACTGCTGTTGAAGTTTTATCCTTGAACATCTCTCTGTACTGACCTCTTTACCTTCCCCAATATCAAGCCTGCACCAAACAATACGACATCTATCAGAAAAATGATAATTTTATCATGGAATAGTGCAGCTAATTATGGTAATTCAGTAAATATGCAAAGTATTCAAATCAACTTACCAATAAAAGAAGGGTTCTCTGCTTTGAGATTCAAGCCATTTGGTATAATAGAAATGCAGATTATGTCCATAACGATGTCGAGGGTCAATCTGTTACACAGAAGCACTAATTTAGTATCAAATTACTAATATTCAATACTAGGAAGAATCCAAGTAATCAGTAGCATGAGACTTACCGCTTCTAACCAATGCTGTAAGGCTAGTTTCTGAGCTTTGTTATTCTTTAGCAAACCTTTACCAACCTGCAGTTTGAAAAGAAACATGTGAGATTTTATTCAAGAAGAAATAAACCTACATACAAGTGCAGTAAAAATATAAAAAAAATTACAATAGGATCCAGAAGTTGATGTTAGTACCTTGGCAGCTCTAGTTTTTGCTCTAGACCAACGCGAAATGGCAGTCTCATGGTGTTCAACATCGAAAAAGGATATAGAACTACGCTTGAGCTCTGCAAAATCTAACAGCTTCCACCAGCTTTGCTCCACAAGGACGGCACAATCTGCAAGCTTCCTCCTGGTGCGAAAGCTTTTATAGACTTTCTGCAACTTGACAGCAGCCTCGTCTTTAGGACTACCAGCAACCGGTGATTGTGGATACACATTATTTTGGGATTCCAAACCCGGAGAATTAGGAATAACTGAGATCAATGTATCGGATTCTCTTTGTTTGAAGCTGAAAGAACCTTCAATAATCATTTTTCCAGAACCAAATGATTTCTTAAGAAGCAGAGGTTCGGAATCATCTCCACCTTTGAAACTGATAGACCTTTCAGGGGTTTTAACCTGATCATCACCCAAACTGACAGATTTGACAATGATGCTTTCGATATCTTCGTAAGTGGCAAAGGGACATGAAAGCGAAAATGATATGCCCATCCGACAGTTATTTCTTATTTGAATTTTTACAGTATGTATTTCCTGCACATAACATATTTTGGATTCAATGAATCAGAATCAGTTTCAAATATATTCAATGCCATATTCCATTATTCATTCTTCCTATTTCATTCCAAAAGACACAAAATTTGACTAGTTTGTATAAGATTACATAAAACCTTTTACGGGGACCTACAACGTAGAGCACAGATTCGAGGGTGAATATGATTGAGAGTATAAGCAGTCAAAAAGCCACCCCATTTCACCAAAAAAAAAAAAGCCACCCCATGACTTGTACATTCTATTTTATTTTTATTCTGGAAAAGGGAACGCAATTACTTAAAATACAGGAAAATGGATCCAGAAATTCAATGGATCAGAAAAATATAAATATTCAAGACAGAGTAATTGAAATGAAGAAAAGATTGAAGATTTACCTGGAAATGAAAAAGGTTTAGTAACAAATAATTGAATTCGGTTGAGTGCTTATGTGTTGTAGTAAAAATGGTTGAAAAGGGTATAAGCCCAAGTTCTGTGAAAGTTAAGAACGCAAAATAAAAGAGGTGGGTAGCACAAGTATATATACTGGGAGGGTTGGGGTTGGGGTTGGAATTGGAATTGGGGAGGCTCAACAGAAAGAGGGCAGTCAGCAACCACGTGGAGCGGACTTTAAACTTCTCAACTTAAACATACAAACTACACTTTTTTTTAGAGGCACCCTATTTTCACAAACTTTTAAATAAAACGGATGTTCAGTACAATAAAATACGCAAAAGTCACACTAAAACGCATAAAAGTTATCCTGATATATATGAGTTATTTATGCTTCATTGATAAATTTGACAAAAGTGACACTAAATCTGACAAAAGTATACCCGATGTACAGTAAATTACTGAAAACCGGGTGTATACAAAAGTTTTCCTTTTTCAAACTACAGAGTAGTGTTTTCTGTATTCTTCTTTCTTTCTTTCTTTTCCTATTTTTCATTTGTCGGTGTATTTCTTAAATTCTTGTATTTCTCATCTTTAGTACCTTTGCTCATCAACTTTTGTACTAACTTCATTTTCGATTCAAATCTTGAATACGTACACGTTTGAGAGATTTAATTATAAATTATGAATGCAATATAAATACTCCGTATAACTTAAATGGGTAAAGCGTAGATGTGATATTTAAAAATTGTGATTAAATCGCGTCTATATTATTTACCTTAACGGATCTCTCTACATCCCCACAAAATTACTCTATTGTTTCCCTTCCCTACCTTATAAAAAGTGGGAAAATACTCTTATGAATAGTGCATGGACATTTATATCCCTAAAAATGTTCTTTTACATATTTACCTTCATTGAACTCAAAAGCTTTAAAATTGTCTTTTGAATCACTAAAATTGATTAATTATTTGTGTTTATTTCAATATTTAAAGCATTTTAGAGTTTAGACTCTAGCATTTTTTACACTCTCCATTTTTTTACAAAATATACAATTATATGATGACTTGTTTAATTTATTTTATACGTCTCATCAATAGTTATTTAAAAATTACTATGCAAATAGATATAATAAAATATATATACCATGCAAATATGCATAAGGTATAAAGAGCGCCTTTAATAATTCTCTTTAAAGGGCTAGCCATCGCGCGCATAAAAATCCCTAGTATATAGAAAGACTCAAAAGACAGAAGCTAGAGCCTCTCAAAACTAAGGATTGAAATTAAAGAGCCAGCTAGATCCAATAAGTAGATCCTAGTGTAATTAATAAGGGTTTGTTTGGACCTATATATTTGGGACTCAAGTCATTGGTCACGGCTGTACTGAGTAGTAAATTTTGCTCCAGTCCTTGTACGGAGTATCTTCTTCTAATTTCTTATTATTATGTGGTCTGTGTTCTGTGGAGTGTTATGTATTTCCATGCATAGTGCAACGCATTAGTTCAAGATTTTATTATTTACAGTTTGCTCCATTCAACCATTAGAATGTGGTAAAGCCCAATTAACCATATTCAAATGTATGGTCTAGCCCACAAAGTAAATACCGCCATATTTTGATTGGAATATTGGGTAATTCTCTAGTTTGTTTTATTTGTTAAGAAATGTAAATCATAAAATAACTTCAACTCCCGTGTAAATAAAATCTCTAAACTTATAATATCGTAAAAGAATAACTTAATATTTTCTTATTAAGGTGAAGATATATATAGGAGATAAGGTTCATCCTATAAGTATATATTTACGTTAATGTTTTTCTTTTGCTTCTACACACCATAATATAGTAAGGGTCTGTTCTCATTGATTGAACTGAACTGAACTGAATATTTTATAAGAGAAGGAAATTAGGAGCTGAACTGAACTGAGCTGAATTGAACTTAATTTCAACGTAAAAGAACATGCCCTAATTAAATTACATATTCTCTAGTTGGATAGATGGTATGTACTTGACTTATGAAATCAAAACTTGAAATTAGAAATTAAAATTTTACCAAGTCTCATGTTGACCTCATGTAACATCATAGATTCATAGTCAAGTAAATACAAGTCATTTGTAGCATGAATTTAGTGGTCAATTTAGAAGAAAAAAAATTAATAAATATATAAAATATTATATTTGACCATTTCATAACCCCTTATGTCATAGATTTAATATCTTATGGGGTAAACCAATTCAAGTAAACGAATTCTTAATTAGCTTAACTTGCAAGTTACTACACGTACAAAGAAATTTTCTAATGAATGTTTTTGGGGTTACATGACTAAAAATTCACAATTCAACACAAAATTAAACAAAATATATAGTAGCAGAATATCATCAAAACTTTTAAGCGTGGGGTCATTAACTTAGAAAAAGACTAATATTCCTTAATTAAAAAATTGACTGGATGATGAGGTATTAGCTAACGTACACAAAAGAGATTAGTAAGTTAATTGTAGATTAGATAGAATGTTGAAAACTCCGGTTAAGCGGCAAAAAGGGATTATTGCTGAAACTTCTTGTAATGTTCCTGAGTATAGTGACCCGTACTAAAGGTTGACTTGAATATACTCTTTTTAATTTCTTTATAACAAAAATTAAATTATTAAACAAAGTTGTAGTTGATGCGCTAATGGCAACAAAAAGGCCAGTGTAAAAGTGTTAAATGTAGGTGTTTGCATTGTGGCCCACTCTCCTTATATTTTAAACAATAAACCATTCAAACTTTGTAAATTGTTGTTAAATTTAATTGATTTCTTTATTATCCTTCTACTCACTTAGGGGTTTGGGAGATTAGCTAAGCAACACGGTTGTTTTTAGGAATGTATTGGTAATTTGGTATACTTTTTCCTTTGTTTCTTTTAATAAGTGCAATATATAGGGGATGTACCCTTTTTCTTTTTCTTTTTTTTTTCTAGAGGAAATACATAAAGAGATGGAGATTTAAAAATAAAATATAAATGCTCTAATGTGATTTAGCAGAGATATAGAAATAAATTATTTTCATAATAGTGATTTTTCTTATATACAATGCAACTTTCGAAAACTCTAAGGACAATATAGCATTTATATTAAAAAAAAATCCAGAAATTGCGAAACTCATAGGGTTGTAGATATGCATATTATATATTTAAACGAATTACATGGATATTAATTTATTATATATGTAACAAATCACTACACAAATTAATCGATCAGTGTAAAACATGTTAAGTTAACTCATGTCAACACTTGAGAGTATAGGAGCAGGTAAGTGATTCTCGCTCACTCCCAAGCAAATATATAGCTAGTGGGGTTCAAATTTGTTACATCAAAGTCATAAGGTTAGTGCACCATTAAGGCGGTTTTTTTTTTTAAGCTTCTGGCATAATAAAGCAGAGCAGAACAAGTTTTAGCATAGCAGAGCGTGACTCGGCAGATCAGAGCAGAATATCTCTAAAGAACAGGACTTAACTCGAATTTACTAAGTTAGCTTGGTTATATGTAGAGCATAAATATATACAATATTTAATTTAACACACAACACATATTAACAATATACTCCCCATGTACACTTTTAAATCTAAGACCATCAAGATAACCACATACTACCTCCGTTACAGATTATGTGCAACGATTAGACTTTTTTCCTCTCTGCTTTATGACAAATTGTTGCTCATAATCTGTAATGAAGGTAGTATAAACAATGTACACAGTACATCTATAGATTGAATAACATTGGTAACGTATATTAACATATGATATGAACGAATAAAAGCCTATAAAAAATAATTATGACATGAGAAGTGTACTTAATTTATAATAGATAGAAAAATAGAATACAAGTACGGACAAATCCGTAGAGTACCATAAGAATTAAGGAGTACTACTAGTACTAGTGATCGATCTGGGATGACACGTAGGCATTGCATGCACGAGAGGTGAGCGTGACCATACCTGCGCGTAATGCCAGATAAGTAGTGGTAGCTAGTGCAGTACAATCTCTTTTTAATAACCAAACAAATTAAACCACCGTCGAAACCATTTTTTGGTCGGAAAGTAATATGAATTCCATAGTTTTAAGTTAGTTATTAGTCTTATTACTACTACTAGGACTTTCATTCAGTTCTTCAACTTGCCTTGATTCACACATTACTAGTCCACTACACTTTTTTCACATTTTTTTAGCTCTTACTTTGACATTTTATATTTTTTTTTTTTGTTGATTAATAAGTGTGTATGTATGATTTTAATCTATAATAATTCAACTATACAATTATATATTACATAAACCTACACCCACCACTGCATCCTAGCTAAATCATCAATCATTATTTCATAACTATATTTTCATTATTTTTTTAAAATATATTTATTTTCAAAAGTAATACCAAATATCATCTACTTACATTATTGTTTCTTTTTTTCCACATTGGGTACTAGCAATGAAAAATACTAAAATATGAGAGATTTGATGAGATTGTAACATATGTAGAAACTTATTTTGTACGCGCAAGGTTATGGAACGACTTATCCTTGCACAATGTTTGTATTGTATATATCATAAGCAATTAGAGATTACAGACAACGCCGCATGCATTTAATTATACTTCCTCCGCTCTTTATTACTTGACCCGCTTTGACTTTTACACTATTCACCATTCCTCCTTTGACCGTCTTTTGTGAATAATATGTAAGGAAAAATATATTCATGTATGATCTTTTTGGATTCATCTCAATAAGTACTATCGTAATATATAACTTTTATAATTTTTACTTATGGAGAACTTAAGTTATTGATCGTTAAAGTTTTGCATTGGCAAGCTTGATAAAAGAAACAGGTCAAGTAAAAAAAAACAGAAGAAGTATATAATTACATTTAAGTCCCAAGTTGGTGATGCATTTGTGCGACCATTGCAAGAATTCTTCAACTACTATAGATATGAGAGTCGATCATATAGACAATTAATATACTGTAAATGAGATTTTATCCCAACTTTTAAGTAATACTATCTAAAGCTTTAACCAACTAAGCTATTTGGCAATCATCACAACAATATTGCAATATAATGACTTTGTCGTGCCATATATTACGAACATCATTATGTATCAAGTAGTATATATAAAATATATACCGAAGAGGGAATTCTACTAACTTTGTATGTAGTGGATATCACTTTATTAAATTAATACTCTCTCCGTCCCTTAATTAGATTCCTATTTCTCTCTATTATGAGAGGAATAAATGGTG